GGGAGGGGGGGGGGCAGGGGAACGATGAGACCGGAACGTTAAAGAAGGGGAACGAAATCCACGAAGCGAAAAGATTACAACCCAGAACCAAAAACAAACCCCTCCTAAGAATTGCTTGGCATTCTGATTCACTTTCCTCCTCTTACTAGATCCACTCCACCAAACATGAATTTGGCTGTCTACGTGTTGCTTTTGTTAGGAAACTTCCTCGATGACAATGATTACTCTGCTCCATGTAGTGTTCAACAGAGATAGGAATATACGTAGGAAATTGATAAGGAAGATATCCAGAAATAACTGAAATACTTTCGACGAAATGCTGTCAGGTCTTTGCTAGAACTTGGAAATGCTCGTCATAAGGGTCGAAATACTAGCTGGATCATACGTGACACAATTTAAAGTAACTTGAGTAGAAAGAGGGAATACTGACGTCGGAAAACGAAAAAACCGTGTTTTATTACCGTTCTACTTGACTATAAATTTTCACTGGGATTGGGATATTTACAGATGAGAACCGACTTGGAATAAATGTATGTAAATCACTGCCCTGTCATTACATGACATATTCCCCAAACTTTAGAAGAAATAAAAAGGACAGTTGAAATGGACAACTACAATGACTCACTTTTTCAGCACCATTTCGGAGGCACCCTTAGTGAAGACAGTATAGCCACGCTTGTTTTGATCTAAACTGCGAATAACCGTACTCATGGATTTGCGCTCTGAGTTAAAGGTGAAGACTTTGAGGAGAGAATCCTCCGGCCATTGTTGACGAATATCCTCATAGGAAGCCCCCAAATTATGGACAAATCCAAGCAGAGCACACTCCGTCTTATTTCCCAATTGAGTTGGTAGGTCCGTTTGTTTCTTGGGTTGCTGAAATCCAACAGAAGATTGAACAAATTAGGAGTTCTTAATTATAAGTGATAAATAGAGAGATAGGAACAACCATCTTCTTATCTAAGTGAATGGCAGTTCACGTTGCTATTTTCTTTAAAGAAAACAGAAACGATAAGGGTCAATTTTTGGTATGATCAATAATAAAAGTGAAAGAGATAATTCAGCATGTAGCTTTTCCCTTTTAATTTGATGGATATGGATAATGCCACCTTCCGCAAGCTCATTAAGGAAAGAAGAAGAGAAAATTAATTGGGTGGAAGGTAAAGTAGTAAAGAAAACTCACATAAAAACCCACATCCATCCACTGATTAACCAGAATTAATGAGCCATCTATTCACACCTTTCAATTGATCTCGTGACCTTTGACAGCGCAGACGTGCACGTTAACTCCTACTTCACAAACGCCCTCTTAGTAGGTATTTCGATAACCAGTGGTACATTTTTAGAAGTGGGGAATACCATAGCACACTTCAAAGCCTATTTACTTCCAAATTTCTGACGTTAACGTCAAAGTTTCCTCTTTACTTTAGGATTCTGAAAACACTGCCTTCTTAGGAAATCACGTGTAAATCATGCGATTATAACTTTATGTTCACCTTAACAACAAGTGCAACAACAGTAAAGTAACGAAACCAGACTAGTTCCAATTCATAAGTTCCGACCAAAAGATGGGATCAAACGACTAATTTAAAACAAATGGTATTCATTTACAAATGTATTACTGCTTAGTTAGTCTAGAGATAGTTCATTACATTAAGGGAAGTTACACGATCCCATGTAATTACAACTTCCTCTGTACAGATTTAATTGCACCAATAGAAAAATAGTGATATACAGCACGCAATGAGGAAAGCATGTAAGACTTTGATCACTCTAAATCTAATTACGGACGATGGAGGAGGTGACAGGCCGAAAAAGGCGAGACTTAATGGAAGAAAGTGGTGGAGAGGAAACACAGTAGAAAAAAAACACGTTATCTTTCCATCTTAAGCATTCATAGGCGAGAGCTTGGGAGAAGGGAGAGGGAGAGAGGATGAATTCAAACATGTAAATGTGGGCTAGTACGCATATCCCAGGCCCCATCATCTTTGTTGTGTGATTTTTAGGCAACGTACACGACAAAAAGTGGAATGCGAAGCGCAGCATACATGATGTTGGGGGGGGGGGGGGGGGGGGGGGAAAGAAGAGGATGACTCTGGGTTATATAATCGTTAGTGATAAGCGCGATGAAAAAAAGTAAGGCTGTTCAGCGCTGTTGATTCCCTCTCAAAGGGAACTGCAAAAACCGAATGCGTAGTAATGGGAGTTTGTTTCGATGCTCTTGTCTCATAGTTCTGTAAGACCTTCAGTAGATCAAACGGGCTAGTGACATAAAAGAGCCCAATGATTCGAGACCTAGAGATCGGAATAGCCACTCATTAGTCTGGAATTAAACCACTCAAACTCTGATGCAAAACAATCGCATCGAGATAGTCAAATCGACATCCAAAAACAATTAGTACTCAAAGACGAAGTGGAACCTCAAGTTCAAATCCTAGAACGTTGATTCAAAATGCAAAAAAACACTATGTATCCATTCGTTAAAAACAAGCAGTCTATTAAATTAAACTCAAATGAATTAAGGCTCATTTGATTATGTTTATTTCATTTCAGCGGGATTCCTCCTTCCACTGCACATTTTATTTGATATATTCTCAACTGCTGCTTGTTGTTTTGGGATATTTCGGAATGCTATGACCCTGATAATTAAGTAATTACAAAGTGTGGGAATAATCTCATAATATAAATAGAGCTTATATTCGTTTTAAAACGAAATCTCCTGTCTTTTTGGCGCATAAAAAACTGAAGAAGCTAACTCAACTCCCCCCGCTTTTTAATTAACCCTTAAATCTCTTTTCTTTCCTCCCATGACCTACCACCGTTTTGTGGTACTTTTTCACTTCCATTGTTTGCTGTTGATATCACAAAGAGTGATATCCCTTTTTTGTACCTACCTGTACCAAGCAGTTATTACCTCGGAAAGGAACGGTAATAAAATTTTCAAGAAATAAAACAATCCTCAAAGTGAAGAAGTGTGTGATGATGAGGAGGAGGAGGTAGAGAGGTAGAGAGAGAGAGGAACAGGGTTTTCTCATCGCGGTAGTTTGTTTGATTCAAACGCATTAAGTGGAATGAAAGCGGAAGCCACGTGTAGGTAGCGGTCGGTGGATTGGTTGGCGAATGTTTGTGTTGAGCAAGAAAGCGACGGAATAGAGGGTGGGGAGGGGGGAGGGGAGGGAGGGAGGAAGGAAGGAAGGAGTATTAGACTGGGCTAAGTTTGGGGTGAGGTGAGAAGAGGAATGGGAGATGAGAGAGGATGGGCAGGAGGGCGGAACGAAACGGAAGTAATTTCTACTTCACAGGATCGCTCCCACTCTCACTCACTCTTACCCTGATTACACATGCGTAAATCATTAAACAAAGCAGACGATTGCCAAACAGCTTCCAGTAACGCAACTTAGTGGAAGTAATTTCCTTGAAGGCACATTCCTCTCTCATATGGACTAAAATAGTAAGTTAGAGCATGAATAACATTTATAATCTGATATCAATAACGAAAATCGGAATCCAATCCTGATAGTTGGACAGGATATAATTAACTAAGCGCCTTAAATAAAAGTGTGGAGAAACTGATTGACCGATTACTGAAATGGTATAATTAGGTTAAATAAGAGTATCTTGTTGGACATAGGGAAGCAGCGTAACACACAATAAGAGGAAGTGGTCACCACAGAAATAACAGGCTGGGATACGGCAGTTTTGAGGTGAAAAAGGATGATCTAAGAACCCTTTTGCCTTTGCTTTCACTACTGTGTATGTACAATGGCACCGACAACAGATAAAAACTACTTTGTCTGTTTACTGAGCAAAATCCCGATATCTCAAGTTACATATTAAAGAATAAAACCATGATGATCATAAGAATTAGCATCAATTGTTCAAATTGATGGATAGAAGATTAAAGCGGTAAATGAAACGTAAAATTCTGATCTAGATCTTCATTCAAGATCTTGTGGCAGAAAGCGAATAGAGCAAAAAAAGATTCTCAAACCAACTCAAGAATCCAAAGAAAATTTATTATAGCTTTTGAAGAAATCTCAACAATCCAATTCCCGAAAAATGAACATAGTATTAGAATGAGTTACCGAAGACGCAATAATAAGTTTCGAAAAGATTTCAACCGATGACTAAGACAACAAAGCGTCCAACTGTACTAAGTAAATAAGTAAACAATCATTCAATAAACTCACCACAACTCGAGAAGTGTAGCCACTGTTGATCGAGATGCCATGAATTAGCAGATTACCCAAATTGGGATTGAGCTGATTTAGTTTGGGTAGATTGGCTGAATCCTTGGAGTGAATACCGCCAAGATAGCATTGCACCACAGTCATTCGGTTAGTGGTAAGAGTACCTGTCTTGTCCGAGCAGATAGCTGTCGCATTACCCATGGTCTCACAGGCGTCTAAATGACGAACCAAGTTGTTGTCCTACAATATCAAAAACGCAAAAGGGTAACAGAGTGACGGTTCTGGTAAATATAATATCAATGTTAAATATAGTGACTCTTGATAGTCAATAATTATGCAGATAAGTCAACAATCGAATTGACGTAACACAAATGTCAGTCTAAAGCATTTCTGAAAGAAACTCAACGATACTTAATCTACGTACGACAACTCCAATATATATGGAAACAGAAAGTAACTGACCCTGCTGAAGAAGCAAACAAATTCAACGTAACTTAGGGACTCTAAAACTGAAGAGAACGATTCAAAGTCCTGAAGTAACTCCTAGAAAGTGCATGAAGGAAAATGCTTGAACTGTATTACTTCGAAGGAGTAATTGAACAAAATCAATACAGGGGGAGGGGAAATTTCCTGAAGGCTCCAACTACTAACATAATTTGATACCAGCCCACTAATTTGAGCCTCTCTTACTATCTCCTTTAATTCATCTGAACATGCAGATCGTAGGTTCCAGAGTTAACTCGTTAGCGAAAAACACTAATCAATACAACCTAAGATTAATCCATGAGTCACGGAGTCTTAGAAGCAGTTATCTGTAGACGAGACCCCAGATAACCCAGAAAGAAAAATAAAAGAAGATACAAATGAGGCAAAGAGGAAGAAGAAGAAGAAGAAGAAGAAGAAGAAGAAGAGGGGTGGGTCTCAACAAAGCCCAGCTGGATATTCTGGTTATTTGCCAGAAGTTTCAAGATATACTTAAATATATTGACGCGATTATCATACCACCTGTTTAAACGAAATAACGATATCGCAACTACCTCCCATCTAGATGAATTCTTGCAGGAGTAAATTAATAGGAATTATTTTATATTAATTAAAGGAAGCTCCACAAATATATAGAATTGACAGATAAAAAAGAAAATAAGGAAAACGAGACTCACCTTCATCATTTTCTTAACTGAGTAGGCAAGTGAGATCGTGACAGCCAACGGGAGACCCTCAGGAACAGCCACAACAAGAACAGTGACACCAATGATAATGAAGTGGATGAATTGTTTCAGGTGTAAGCTTGTATTCCAGGGCTCCTTATTGATGTAGTAGGTATTCACAGCGAATTTAATGAAGAGGATGAGCACTGTTAGAACTGCGATTACCGTACCTGAACAGCAAAAAGGTTGAAATTATTGACTTATACTCCAATGACAGATCATTTTGAATAGACGGTAATGAGTGTCTTCGGAGAGGCAGGAAATAAGGCGAATGCCAAATTCATCAATAAAGGGTGAAATAAAGTGTAATGGCATTACATTATCTCTATTCTATGTCTACCTTCAGTCTAACAAAGCCTCAAACACACGATGTCTTCTCTACTGATTACCATGAGACTTGACAACGGTAAAACTTGATTCTTTAAAAGGTCAAAGGCAAGTAGAAACGTCAACAGTACTTAGCATGTGTCACGAGAAGATAACATAGAGTTCCTATTACGGGAAAATCGCATTCTGCATTCCATCCGACTGACCCAAATTAACCCACTTCATTGCTTGCACATCGATGAGTATTGACCTTGTGACATTTTGGTTTTACAAATGTACACTTTAACCTGACAAGCTCCCCTAACATTACTGTCCCCCCCCCTCCGACATGTCTGATTCGGTAGAAGTTAAGACTGGCTACTTATTAGCTTAAGTGAGTTATTATATATATTATGAAAGGTTACAAACGTGGAACGGCGAAACCCCAACAATAAAGTACTATGCGCTAAAGGCAATGCAAATAAAGTGCGTTAAGGAAACAGGAAGGTATTTAATAAACAACATAACTTTATCGTTAATCTATTGATATATCTGCAGACACAAACTATTTCAAGAGGCCAAGATGTTGGTCAAGGTGGGAGGCATATAAACATTCCTTACACTACGATAAAGTGCATGGGAGGAAGGGAGAGAGAAGCACTTCTATGAACATTCGATCTTGAGGGCAGAGAAATTCCCACAAGTTGACTATCGATAGCAATGAAGTTACCATTCTTAAAAGGCGTGGTCGATTATAATGATAAACTGATTGGAATAAATTATTAATCTTATTCTGAAAATTGGAAAACCGATAACATGACGTACCGGTAATAAGATTCGCGTATATCAAATAAACAAACTATAACTCTCAGTATTTTGAAACTATTTTATACTCACTGGTTGTACGAATATACATTTGTACATTTTCTCTGAAATTTATTAAAAATTAGATTTGATTCTCCACCCCCCTCCCCTCCCCGCCCTGCAATGTTTTATTTATGTCAAAAACATTCCTGGTTCCTTAGTTAAGTTTGGTTCCTAGGGTGTATGTAAGCTCCCAGTAAAATATCGCACAAAACGATCATTTGACTTGCCAATTTGTCCAATAACTCCAGCCAGATGATTAAGTTTAGCTTGCAGCACAGAGGACTTCTTCTTTGTTCGCTTCTTCTTTTTGGGCTTTTCAGCTGGCATGGATTTTCCAATATCTTCACCCTTTCCATTTCCAGAGAGTATGGGATCCAGGTTCAGGTTATCTCCAATTGGTGCTGTATGGTCCCCAAGATTGTTCAATCGTCCCATTTCCATTCCTAGATAATGAAAAATGAAATATCAACAAAAAATCGCTATAAAGCATAAAGTCAAGCATAAGTTCAAGTAAAGATAAAGATTTTAAGGACTTGGGGTTCAGTGTCAAGAAATAAAGAGGAACTCTACTAAATTTCCGGTAACTTTATGTTTCAAAGTGGTTGAACACTCTATCGTCTTTAGGTACTCTAATTCAAGGTAGCCGTAATGAGTTGAATTCACAGCTTTTCAAAAATTCGCTCATCGGCTGTTTATCCTTAATCCTCATGTCTCATTCTCATCCATCCGCGGACGGAGTTCGTGATTGCATGAATTCCTGTGTGTAGTCCACACGTTTTTCATTTATTTAAACAGTACCGTTAATACACTTCTGCTTGTTATCGAGTAACCCAACACGCTCATGTTTAGTTTGGTCCTTCGATGAATCACCCTATTTTCTTAAGGACTTGCAATCTACGTATTGTAACAACTATTTTTTAAGCGATAAGAAGGGCAAAATTTAAAATGCCTCAGTGAGAGTCGGTTTAATTTATCGGCAGATTTGAGATCAGAATCTTGCTACAAGTCTTTGCTTGATTCATTTGTGTACAACTCTTCTTATCAAATCAGAGATTAGAAGTGAACAGAAGCATATAATTTCCCCTCCGACTACTGACTAACGCCCAAATAATTATGGCCTTTTATTTTAAGCTTTTTATTTTTAAATTTACATCATCAATCATCTTTTTAGGGGGGGGGGTAGGTGATGGGAGATAAAAGGAACCGAACACTAAAGTGGCAATAGGTGGGGGGGGGGCTGAAAATGGCTTATAATAGTCCAACCGTTAGCTGTCCTTCTTCGTGGAGGTTTCCTTTCCTAAACTTAGGGGAACGATTGTCACCAAATGTTAGAACTACTATTTAAGTCTCAAGTTAATTGGTCTAAGTTAGATGGAGTGAGAGGGGGAGGGGGCAAATTGTGGTGAATTAACTTTAAAAGAAACTATCAATATTGGTCAAATTTTCTGTTTAGTGATGATTTTAGTCCATTTAAAATGAGCGTTATGACTTCCAGAGGGAAAGAAAGCGCATATCCCACTTAATGATATGAGATATGACAATTGGGAATGGAAATTACCTACCAGTTACTTAATGTTCATCGAGAGATAAAGACGATGGACTGCTATACCGCATTTCGAAATAACTTACAAGAACATCAGGAAAGTATTTTCTAACACTCCTCTTAGGTTAAGAACAGCATTGCGGTGCCTCGAAAATAGCTTTTATAGGCTTTTTATTAGCCGAAATTTGTAAAATGAAGTAGACCTATTTTGAACTGCCCCTAATATACAGAATAGTTAGCTAAATGGCTTACCTGAGGGGTTCATTGCCTCTTCACCTTGATATCCTATCCCATCCGGCACACCTTGCTGCTGCTGTTGACTATTCTGGTTCAGTAATGGTGTTTGAACACTTGATTTATCAGTGGGACCACCAGAGGCCGTCGTGGAGGTTATTGTTGAATGTGCAACCGTTCCTGCAGTCTCGCCCTCTACTTCACCGAAGCCAACGGCTCCTGCGCCCTCTGTGGCTCCAAGAAGAGTGAAGATTATACCCGCTTGAGAGTGGACTCCCACAGCGGTGACTAAGAACTTTCCAGAGCCTTCCATTACGTGAGTGCCTATGAAGAGATATACAAGAAAATGGAAAGTTCTATTAGTCCACATTTGATATCTTAATACAAAAACCAAATTAACAACCAGTCTTTTTTACCTTTCAAAGTTTAATTAATATAATGGATTTTGCTTCCGACAAGACAATCAATGCTGTTCGTAAAACTGAAAGCAATAAAAACTCCAGAAACACAATTTTACTATCGTAATCACTGAGCAGAGGCAGTCAGATTTTGTTCATTTTTCAATATGGAAAATGTATTTACAATCATTCCGAAGCATAATGAAGAGGGGAGCATTTTTCCAAACACTTTAGTTAAAAACAATGAACTCTAGACTTTCGTTGTTAAAGGGGGGAGGGTCATTCCGCAATTTCCCTTACGACCAGTTCAAACCAACACGATTCCACTGAATGCGAACTGTTTAAGTGACTTTGGCCAAATGAATGATGGCTGCTACATTTTTTTAAATTTCTACATCTCCCCCACCCCCCAATTAGATCCTTGCCATCTAGAGCCCCTCCTACCATCTTCTAATTAAGTACCTGGGCTAATTTATTTCGTAATCCATTCTCTATTTTTTACACCATCTCCGTTTTTTAACTTTTTTATTAAAATTTTGTACCCTAAAAAATTATTTGCCTTCTTGCTGTTTGTATCTAATGCACTGCTTCAAGCAGTCGTCAAATTTGAATATTGAGAGATCTCTGTCCCCAACAGCGGCGTAGTTTTAAGGATACACGAGTGGGGGAATGGGCTTAGAAGAGCGCATACACACACACACCTGACGACCATTAATCTCAAGAAATCTCTGTAGATCCTCTTAACTGCACATTTCAGCTAAAACCCAGCAGGAAGTTAATAAAATTAACTAACCTCTCAGCTTTCATCAATCTGCGCAAATTTCACCCTTATGGACTGGAGCACATATGAATCTTTCCTCCTTATGTCGGGGGAATGAATGAAGAACGAGCGAATAAACACCACAGAACTCAAATTCGAATCCCTTCCCTGAATGTCACAGTGCACAATAGCAGTAAAAATTCAGGGCAAGTAAAGAAGAAGCTGCAACTAGCTTCACTCTTCGTATGGCCCCAACCTTCCATTCAACAATGAAAAAAGTGGGACTCTAAATACTAGGTGATGTTCAATACTCCAATGGTCTCTTATAACTTCTGTTTAAACCAATGAAAAAAAACTGGTCATAAGATTCACCTCATGATAGTAAGGTATTGTTTCACTCATACGAGATTTTCGTTCAAGCTCCTGCGAAACCGCCCCTGTTAACAAGAAGGTTCTACAGCAAACCCGACTTAAAAGGAGAGCACTGCACAGGACAAGACATTTAGCTACATTCGACCCTAGAATCAAGGATAAATAGAAACTTAATTTAGGTAAATCGACGCTCAATATATGTCTCAGATAAGCCTTAAATGGATATAACTTTAAGGTGTCATAACCGACGAAATAGGCATACTAAATCCGCAAACCAAAATTTGAAAAGCTACTAATTTCGAGGGTTTAGTTAGTTATGAGAGTGTGAGAGAGAGGAAAGAAGGGGAGGGGGTGGGGTGGGGTCAGGACGTTGAACCTAAACGTGGCAACTCTGAGGGAGAAGCAAGATTATGGACGGCCCTAAATAGTACATCGCCTTGGAGCTTTAAGGTCAAGCTTCATGCGTTTGAAAATAACACCAACCCTCCTTACTAATGGCGAAGCTTATATGCTTTTAACCATCGACTGCAGCCAAATGGCCTGGATACTTGGCAGGAAGAAGGAGAAGGTGAAAAGATTAGCTTATAGGCTGTTTAGAAAACTGCTCAGTGGCCGGAGCTGACGATGGTAAAAGAGAAGTTGATGCTTAAGTTATACCTGAAATATCTCTTGGAAAAAAATATCGGCGCGAGAGCTAAGGGTAGATCAAAGGCAGCCTTAACAGAGAAGATGAGACCCTAACCGCAGACCATTTGAAATCCCGCCAAATAAAATAGGCTTCTTAAAGGTAAGCTAAAGCGATTCTATACGGTTGCTGAATAGGTGCTGAGGGGAAAGAAAAGTGGTATTAAAAGTTGATCACAATAAAGAATTCAGAAAGGCATTAAAAAAGAAATAATATGAGAACACTCGAAGTAGTCGACTCTGCAAACGAAAGTAAGGTGAGAGGATACTATTTTAGTCTGAAATTTCATGAAGGACTTGACAATAAGATTAGGGAAACCCGAATAATCTTTAGATAAAAACTTAGTGAACCTGATGATCATGAATTCGGGATATAACACGGATCTTCTGGGTTTCTGACTCTCAGTCCAACTGCTCCTAAAACAGATCTGTCTGTTCATTTATATGTGCTTGAATTATTAAACTTGGGAAGTGAATAAATAAGTAGGTAAATGCTTCCTTCTTAAGTAGTAAAAAGACTGGGAAAGGAGAGTTTTGGATGTAAGCATACACTCAAATACGCATTTTATAACTCGAAGAGAAAGTCATAAAAGTGTGTAATACAAATATGGATTGTGGTCTGCAAACGATTCCCCTCCCCCCGCCCCAAAAAATATCTAATATTCATATGTATATATGAGGAGAGGAAATTAGGCATATGGGATTAATAATTCATCTTAATCTCAAAAAAACGCACTGAGAGGAGTGGATTGGTGGAAAGGGAAAAGCAATTTAATCCATTTAAGCAAATACAAATAAGAACATCAAAACTTTTGGCGAAATAATTGAAAAGGTTATATGAAGGAAGGTGATATGAATCTTGAAATCTCTGATTAAGAAGCTCGTATTCCATCAACCCATTTTTTAACCATCTACTAACCAATACTCGTGGGCTCCCAAATTGAGACCTCTGTTAGGTGCTAATGTATACGAAAATTAGCACCGATTTGCAAGATGGCAATTACCAAAAGAGAAGCAGCCAAACACAGATTCACTAATTTATTATTAGAAATTTATCAAAAGAAAGCCTTTTAAAATCAATCGTCAAATTGAGGAATCCAAGTGATTCTATAACGACAAGTGAAAATGGTAAAATTATTTTTTAGACACGGGAGCATAAGTGTGTATGAGAGGATTGGAGGCTTCATGATACGACAGAAGCTTGAAGAATCACAGGAATAACAGAAATTCCGATAAAATAAAACTATCAACGGGATTGGAAAGAGGTCATTACTGAATTTTAAATATTATTTACTCGAAATGGCGTCAAGTTTTCAATAAACAAACTGCGAATTCTACCAATGATCCACTGTGAATACAAAAAGGACATTCCCAATTCTCACTTCGCCTAACCATTTAGGCCATAAGATTTGGAAATTCAGGTCAACACTATGATAACATTTCGAAGGAAAACATTTCTGACAGATGAAAAGTGTACTAATACTTCTAAAAACTATATTCTGATCAACGATCATTCCAATCTCGAGGCTTAAAGTCAAGCTCACCTCGAATAAACCAACACATATCATATTCTAAAGTTCCACTGCATTTCGTCTACCCCAATACAGTTTAAGAAAGTTTGAAGTCTTAAAAATCAGCACCCAAGACAGCAATACAGATATCACATGGAGAGACATGACCAAAAAACTGTTATGCTAAAAACTTCTTTCTCCATTAACTTGAGTCAGAAAGAGAGCAGCAGAGAGGATATAGGTCGCAATCTCATTTCCGGGGCTTCTTTTAGTAAGATAATTAGTTAGACGGCCTATGTACATGATGACTGATTTAAAAAATTTACCAGATCGGCAAAAAGGATGAAAGTTGTGTGTGGGAGTGGGAAGGGGGTGATTTATGGGCCAGACGGTAGTGATTGTATCATGGGTAGACACCCAAGTTGAAAATCCTACCAAAAAAAGAGTGCCCATTTGAAAGTAATAATTTACTGAAGTGTGGTTGAGAAAAAATCAATCAGAAAGCATTGTCTAAACGATTCCTCACATGAACTCAAGTAAACTTTGAGCACTCAGCTGAAAATGTGAATTTCACCTCATCTTAAGATCTAAAAGTGGACAAATATGTGATCTGCATAGACTACGGTTCCCGCTTTTGACGCACTGACAACTTAAAAATTAAGATGGCAAACAACTCTCTTTTAACCAGAACCTACTTAGTTGTCGAATACTACCCAATTCTGTTGACAGGTTTGAAGTACTTCAAATGGATCGTTCAGCTAAACTATCGTGCCAAAAATTTTCGAGGCGCCTCGGGAATTAGGAAATACTGAAGATTATGTTTTCATAATGGGGTATGCGATAGACTTACCTACACGTGGTGCACCCTGGGCAACGTATACTCATACAGCAAAAAGTCTATTATTCGGCAGTTGACTTCTGACTTCAAACTGCCATGACCCCACTGTATGTCATATTCGACTACTTTTTCTACCTTCGTCTTTGAAATACTCTCCTGTTCCTCCCCCCCCCTCTCGACCTTTTTTCACTTTGATGTTCCACTCCTTCAGTGAAGCCTGAAGTCAACTAAAGGGCTAATGATAACCATCAAAACGCCTGCCATTTGATGTAAATAAATGTTTTCATAATTCGTAAGTCAAACTTTAAAATG